CTTCCGTTCAAATGATACTGTAAATGATAAAATATTGAATAAAGAATATTAAACCGACAAAGCTAACGGATTACTCGTAGTTTAGTATAGAAATAAATCAGCTGAAGAGAATGAATAATTATTGTGATTAAAAAGTGAATTTGCTTATGCAGTAGATATTTGGTAAATTGGTTGATTTTCTAGTACCTTACTTAAATAGTGCCTAGTCAAACTGCTCGTATATGCCATAAAATCGAAAGTTTATTTTACAATGTGAAGTACAATTACTCTCTTATAAGACTAACTACCAGTATGCTAAAAAATTTTTCATTAAATATTTAAAGGTGATATTTCGAAATAAAACCCGAAAATCTCCTTATTGATTAGTTCCTCATTCCAAATAGTGCATTAATGCTAGAACTCTTTGACTAGCTACTTTTTACCTATCATTTTATTGCCTATATCAGCTTTATTGATTGTAAACTGATAAAGTACTTTTAATTGGGTTTTTCTAATATGTTTAGCTTGCTTTCTGCTCTTAATAAGATACTGTATGAAGTAGATAGCTCCACAATTAGATTTGATATTTCCGTATGATTTTAATATTGTGTAATTATAAACATTTTTAAATTAGTAATCCATACTTTTCAACTCATCTTCCAGAATATTAATAAATAATGTATTATAAACCAGTAATTTTACACAGTCATGCATTGTACAGCACAAACAGTTGTAAATTTGGCTAACTATTGCTTTACGCTAGAAAGCATTAAAAATACATGGTTACATTCGAGTGTAATACTCTTTTAATTTACCTTCTCACAATTACGATTAAGTAAGTAAATCTTCAGACAAAACTGCATGAAAGAATTAGATATTGCTCAACTGGTTTAGACTCAAGTAAGAAAAGCTACTTTGGATATTTCGGCATTCCGAAACTATGGCATACTCTACATCACATACATTAGTAGAATAGTTAAGTAGCTGCTGACATTTATTTTCATACGAATTGGTAATATTTTATCGGTTATTCAAAACAAAATCTTGGAAATAAATTCTTAAATTTAGTTATCATTGTACTGTCACGGTACGCCGTTACTAATTAAGTAACTGTTGATTAATGAATGCTTAAGAATAGATAAGATAAGGTTATGTGCCATGTTTAATGCGCTTATAGCTGATAATAGGATGGTAGAAATGAGATAAAAATAGAAGTTGTTAGCAGTTAATTTACTGTAGGTTTATAAGGTGTGTTAATCTCTAAAAATAGAGCCGTATATGGACGAAGGTTAAGCGTCTTAACACCTGATAGCTTGTAGCTATCTAAGTCTGAGAATATCGACATGTATATTTAGTAATGGTATTATACTAATTAATGCAACTTGTAAAGCATGAATTCTCACTCGGTAATATTGGAATTCACTTCAGAAACCTATTTAAGCGCATGTGTTTGTAGAATAAAGTTAGTAATTGCTCAAGAAACGGCAAGACTCATATCGTAAAGAATAGTGTAATAATTAGTCAGTTGTCAGTGGAGATCAGCCGAGAAATCGAGTTCTCAAATACTTCTCTCATAGAAACTGAAAGTACTGGGAGAAATAGCCCAAGTTTAAGTAACTACACTAGAGTTCTTTACTTTCCTTTGCCACAAGTGAGGGTTGTGACATGTACTTGTAGCTCGAGCTGATTGTATTATAATTAGTAATCTGGAACTCTAAAATGCAAAATTCAACAATTTTGGGATTCATAAACTGCCATAGTTGTAAAATATCTAAATTGCGTAATCCTAGATTAAAATTGCCGCTTTGGGAGATTTTATTGTAAGAGCAATTGTAAAATGGTTAGATTATAGAAATTGTAATATTGTCACGGTACGCCGTTACTAATTAAGTAACTGTAAATTAATGAATGCTTATGAATAGATAAGATAAGGTTATGTGCTATGTTTTAATGCGCTTATAGCTGATAATAGGATGGTAGAAGTGAGATAAAAATAGAAGTTGTTAGCAGTTAATTTACTGTAGATTTATAAGGTGTGTTAATCTCTAAAAATTGAGCTGTATATGGACGAAGGTTAAGCGTCTTAACACCTGATAGCTTGTAGCTATCTAAGTCTGAGAATATCGACATGTATATTTAGTAATGGTATTATACTAATTAATGTAACTTGTAAAGCATGAATTCTCACTCGTTAATATTGGAATTCACTGTAGAAACCTATTTAAGCGCGTGTGTTTGTAGAATAAAGTAAGTAATTGCTCAAGAAACGGCAAGACTCATATCGTGAAGAATAGTGTAATAATTAGTCAGTTGTCTGTGGAGATCAGCCGAGAAATCGAGTTCTCAAATACTTCTCTCATAGAAACTGAAAGTACTGGGAGAAATAGCCCAAGTTTAAGTAACTACACTAGAGTTCTTTACTTTCCTTTGCCACAAGTGAGGGTTGTGACAAATATATGCTTAAATTTCACCTTAGTTATGCTACTCAACAAATTCATGACAAGAGAGATGATATATTTTGTTTTACTTGAATTGATTACTTATATACTAATCTAACCATTTATGTCAATGATAGCCTATTTTTGGGTTTTTTAGATCTTCAATTGACAAATATGGAATACTCAGATGAGAATTAAGAAATTTGCTTCTGTACCACGATCATCTAGAAATACTTTCAATTTGGCGCTCTTCTATAGTAGCAGAAGTTCATTAGCCGCAAAGTAATTAATTTTCCCTTTCTTACTAAAGATCACATGATGATGATGGATGACGTAGATGGTTAATAACATTTCTACATTCTATGTATTTAATTTCGTTTAAATAATAAAAGATTCTTTGCAAAGGATCACGTTCATGGCGAAATTACAAAGACCATAACAACATCACATAGGTAAATCAATGAAGATTGCATCGCACGTGCAGGGATGCACTAACTTCTGTGCTAGTATTCTTGTGATTTAAATGGGAAAAGATCGATTAACTACGGAAGTAACTCCAAAATAGAAGGCATATTAATAATATTTAACCGTTTAACCATTGCTTCTTTAATAAAAATTAATGACAATTCCACTGAAAAAACAATATGCATTTGACATTGGTAGCGGAACATATAATTAATACGTTGTCAATATTTAGCTAATCGATTCGGCGCTTCGTTAGGTATTTTTAGTTGTAGGTCTTGACTAAAGGCCATCATTAAGTACATATTGTGCTTATCTTGAACCTTAATCTTTAGATTAATATATAATTTACGCCATTCCTTCGTAAGTACATATAAAATTATCGACTGGAAAGATTCGATTAATTTGAATTCATATCAGTTACAGTAGGATAGTTTCTATAGCAATAGTCAGCCGTGTTGATGATTATTTTCACTAAGAAAAGTCTTTGATCAATTCTAGCCTTTAAATTTGACGGCTTCAAATACCTTAGCTTTTTGACCTAAAATAATAACAAATAAGAATTTGAAGACAATCATGGTATCTATATTTTTAAGCCCGATTTCATTATGCACATTTTTATTATATTGCCATACCTTGCGACTGTTAATGAAATGATGAATAAATTTTTACCTTTTAATCATGTAGAATATGTTTAATTTTATGCTTAAGTGATATTGATTTGTTTCGTTGGCTTTTTCTATATTGCTCGAACCTTGCGACTACTACTGATACGGCAAATAATTGGTGGCAATGTAATCGCGTCGGGTATTCTCAATTTCTTATTGTTATGATAGGATTCTTTTCGTTGGCTTTCATTACATTACTATACCTTGCAACTGTCAAAGATATGGCCAATAAATTACGACATTGTATTCACGTAGAATATTTCTAATTCTTGCTGTTGTGATAGTGCTTCGTTTCCAATGTGAATGCTTATGATAATCATTGGAAATTATGTCTAAAGGATATCATAATTTTATAAACTGCTTTATTTTACGATCTTTAAATTTCCATTATCTTAATGCTAAATCGAGTAAAAATTGAGGTCGAGAAGAAGTGTTGAACTGTTTGTTTGCCGATCGTGTGGTATTTAATAGTCTTCATTCACCGTATACAGTAAAATGCTTTAAATTACTGCTGTAGTAGTCTACTAAAGCTAAGAAATTGAGATTCGAAGCAATGAGGGCAGTAGAATTGTGTCTCGGTGATTCTATGCTATTTTAGGCTTTTATTAACTTAAAATGTTTAAAATCATAACTTTCTGTCACGCATAATCCACCATTAATTTAAACATAACGATAATGTGATGCCTAGAAATCATGTCATTCTTAGCTAGTCAATATCCTACTTGATAGTCTTAGTTAGTTAACCTTTAAGCATACCATGAAGTATTGAAATGCTGATATTATAACGTCTTATTCGGAGTTATGGTCTCTTTTGCGAATTTAAAGTTGGCATAATTGCAAGCTATCTTTCAATACTGCCATAGAATGATCGCGTAGAGCCAAAGTTTTGAACAGTTTCAAATCATCAAATTGTAAAGATATACCAAGAGATTTGATAGATGATAATTATTTATTGTTTGTTAACTAGCTAAGTGGGTTGTTACGTTTAATGTTCTATTTCACAGATGTAAAAATAGTAATGCAATAAGATAAATACGATAGTAAATATATTTACTAATACTGAAAGTGTTGACGCAGGCTGACTCATCTTACACATAGAAATTTATTATTCAGCTATTTAATTCAGATTTGGATGACAAGAGTATCATTAAATATGAAGAATAGGAACCACGGTGTTATTCAACTGTCCCAAACAATAAGCCACCGGAATAAATTTACAAAAGCTAAAAATTATCAATTACATCAATTTAGATAAAGGAAATTTTAGCAATTTTATACTGTTGCTAGAAATGAAGGTGTTACTGTAAATAAAATGGGTTGATGTCAAATTTGCGACTTCTGCCTACGTATGCTCGAGTTTATTATGGCTTCCTATAATACTTGACTGTGACTATTAATATGGATCCTGAAATATCTCGAGGTTCAAGCTTTGATGAGACCTAATAAAATTAAATTAACTACGTCTTAGAGAATCTTGTCTGATTTTAGCTGATAAACAGTGATAGAGAGTAATGCGGACATCTTTAATTAAGTAGCCATATAAGATTGCATTAACAGCGGGATAACTGAAGGCCATGTAACGCGTATAGGTTAAAAAATAGACTATACCACGTAATTTACTTAGTACAGTCCAAGGGACAAATATAAATAATAGGTAGTAGACGTAGTATGGTGTCCACATGACAAAATAGGTAGATACCAGGATAGCAAGCACCTTCGCGGTCTTATAATGTCTCTTTGATGTTGAATTTTGCCTAACGACGGGTTGATGAACATGATAGATAGCGTGCTTTTTGGCTAAACGTAAGCTGAACGATTTTGCGGCGCAAAATAAACGGATGTAAACGAAAGTCATGATAATAAATGGCAAGATATAGAACAAGATAACATGAATGACGGTATAAGTCATCTCTCTATCGATCTCCTTCATATTCCAAAATATACATGCACCGGGGACTAGTGGTCGAAAGGTCATGACTGGTAAAAAGCCAAGAATCAGCGAACTGGCCCAAATTGCGACAACGTTAAGTAAGGCATACACAGGTTTCGAATTTTTGCGATAGAATACAGGCGATTCTATAGCAATTAATTTGTCAATACTAACAGCTAGAAGATGTAAATTAATGGAGATGATAATAGTTGGTGAAATGTTATACATCAATGTACAATAAAGCCAATGATCTCTTCCTTGAGAAGGGTGCCCGAAACGAGGATAAAGATAGGTTAAAGCGAATAGAATATCTGCGGTAAACATACTTGCCATAATGATATGAGTAAAGTTTCGCAAACGTTGTTTGGCAGAAATGATGATAATATTCACTAAATTGAATACAACTGTTAAGGTTGCCATTACATTCCATGCTATAAGCCATCCTACCTCAGGTAGTCTTGCTCTATTACCATTTGACGTTGTATTTGATAAGTTAACCGTTTCCTGACTGCCTGGCATGGTTTTTGTTTTTCGAAATAGGTGTCAGAACAATATCAATCCTTGATAAAAGATAACTTTTCTTACTAAAGAGTTAGAAAAGTTTATGTCTTAGTAGAAATCGCGGTAGATATGGCTTCTTCGATAGCACTTATTTATATGCGAGATTCACAATATCGCTGAATGTAGAAAAGAAGATTTCAAAGTGGTGTTGATTCCTAGTCAGATACAGATACCTTTATGGTAAGCTTGATTAGTAAACTTAGAACGGTGGGCCAAATTTCTGGTAGCAACTAATTTTTAAATCGTTAATTGAGAATCAAATCCAATTTTTGCTTGTAAACCAATAATTTTCATGATAGTAATGAACCAAGCAATATGTTACCAGATTGAGCGGTCATTCTAAACGAAGAAATCAACAGGGGAGAATAAATTAAATCAATCTAATTGTATCCTTTTACACACCTCGAAGCTATAGCGACTGAATACTAAAGAACACCTATTTATTGTATTATGCTACGCTTGGGAGTATTGTTGACTTGATTATTCAGGTATTGAGATCAAAAGGATAGACAGAAGAAAACTCTTTGCTTCGATTATGTTCTATTATACTTCTTATTAGTACATTTTGACAAGAGTATAATTTTATTGGATAGTTTTATCTTTTTACTAGATATTATTTTTCTCTATGTCATAATATTGATTTTGTGAAATTAGATGGATAAGAGTATCTAGCAATTCTTACTTTCAATTCTATTGCTGAAATCATAATCCGGTTAAAAGTTAGGATTTAGTCACCGATCCTATTTATTTCGCAATTAACTTAATCATTTTTAATATGGTAGTTAATTTTTGTTGCGAAAGGAATCCTGCTAATTGGAATGAGAAAAATACTGCAATTTTATTTTGGCAAAAATATTATCTTTGAGCTCGATTCAATAAGGAACGTTTGTTAATTCATCTATTGTAGCCAAGTAAAGTGCATAAAGAAATTAATTTAATGAGAAAAGAAAATAGTTATAGAAAAATAGTTAGCTAGAATTCTTCTTATTAATTTCCTGTCTCATCGAGCTGCCGAAGCGAAATTTTAATAATTATAAGTGAATGCTAATTTATACTCTATCCTTAAATATTTTTGATAAATTATTTTCAATATCGTGATAGCTGATTAATATTTTACTGTTGTAGCTAAGCCTTTTGATAATTCTTCTGGATTTTGTCAAGAATTATATGAATTTTAAGCACTTCTTATGTAACTGCTACAAAGCATAACAAATACGAAGATATATAGAATGCAGTTAAAATTTTTTTTCAGTAAAAAATAAGAAAATATATCAACTTATTATAATTAACTTCCTGTTCTAAAATAATAGTCTAGGTATTTATCGAGGTGACATTTCTCTTTTGTATGATTTATTTAAAGTACCAAAATTCGATACAGTTGGTCTCCGTTATTTAACTACCGCTTGCTGAATACGGTCTAGCACTTGCCGCATTATATTTATGAACGTAGATATTGCAGCGCTAATTTTTTTCGTCCAGTTCATTTAATAAACAAATCGCAATTATTATACAATAAGAGGGGGAAGGGAATCGAATAGAAAACGAGTATTTATTATAATAATTTTGATTATGTACCAGTTATTTCGTTTTAAATTTCTTAAAGTGATGTTGTAACAGGTTTTCTACTTTAATGTTAAATATTGAACTATTATTTCCAAATATTTCTGATTGATAAATAGAAATATTGATCGTTTTCAAGGTAGTTTACTTATATTTTATTGTGGAAAGTCTTTTGCAAAGGTTACAGCCTTATGCAAATAAGTGCCTGATGGAATGCCTGAGTTCAAGTTATATTATGTCAATTAGGCTGTGGACATGCATTAAATTAAAATGTGTCTATAGCCATTATAATGAATTAAAATTTATTAAGCTCGCTTTTACTTTCTTTTTGCTTACTCTAGACACTATTTTTACTGTAGTACAGATGTATAGCTCATTAAATTAAGATTACTATGACAGTCTTCAAATTTAAAATGCTAATAACCTTGTTTCGTAAATAATTTACTGTTGAAAATTTTGCTGTATATTGACAGAGATTATGATTTTATTTACTAATTTACTGAAGTGAACTAATCATTAGAGCACATCTTAAAATTTTACAAGTGATTACACTAGTGTTTATTGGTAATGAAATTGGCTTAGTGTTTGTTCCTTCTGGCCGCTGATTACTAAAATTTAATTTGAACCATGTAAGTGGATCTCTCGTAGCCCTACTACGTATCGGAACTACTCGAAGGAATAGCAACGTACGTTTTCGAATTTTGCTTGCCATAAATGAACTTAACTAATTAATCTCCGTAAATGAACAACATCTGGCAGTCGGCATTATGTCTAGAATATGGCCCTAATTTTAATCCGAATTATATGTATCAATACATACTGCGCTTAATTACTGACTATGATACATATGTAATGGCTATATTTTAGTTTCGAGAAATTTCTCTTATTTATATAGTACAGAAACATATGTTACCGCATCAATTCCCGATAAATGATTGAATGTTTATGAATAATAAGCACGCGTAGGTTAATTGTAATTAATAGCGGAGTCTTGTCGACGCTATTATTGACCAATCGATTATTAAAAACAATTTCTTTTTAATCTTAAGTCGCTTTATAGGCTAATGCTACGTTACTATTCAGTATAATGTAATGTGACAAAGTTCATACCTTTTTCGACATTCATAACATTACTTAAAGTTCTGATTTTAGGTAGAATGCCATAAAAGTTTTGTAATTAATTCGTCGATTTTAATGGCAAAAGAATTTAACTTTATTTGAGAATGTATACTTTTCATTGACTGCGGTACCAGTAGTTTGTTACAGTAGGATGATATATCATCGTATTTATTAGCAACCAAAAAAATGATCGTTGATTAATCATTGCGGTGATCAGATTTCCTCATACTGCAATTGCCATTTCTAATACTCAGTATTTTGAATTTGATTATAACAACAATATAAATGAAAGCCACAAATTTGGTTAGCTGTATCACGTTGCACAGTAGTATGAGTGCTGTAATTGCTAGAGATTTGTAGCAAAATAAACAAATACATAAAGGGTATAAAATGGAGCATTTTCGATTGTTTGAATGTGTCAGTAAGTGAAAGTAAAGCGCTTCCTTCTGGCGAATTCTAGATTTAAACAAGGATTTATTAGTCTTTCTCTCTTGCTACGGTTATGTAGCAATATGTAAAGTTTATTGATTATTCTATACGTTATTCAGCAAAATAGCTAACTGTTTTTTGTTACCAATACAGTAGCATTCCTATATTCCCTACGATATGGGTGTTTTATATTTTAATCAATAATCCATCCCAGCAATTTGTATTATTAAAGACAATAATGATGTTTAGAGTCCAATCCTTATTCGAAATTGAAAGTTCTGATACGTTTGCTATATTCTCTAAATAATGCCTAAATCCCAAGCTTTTTTAATATATAGCAATCTAAAGCTTTGCAATATTGGATTACAGATTTGCACAAACTGGTAGAATTGATCAATCTTATGATTAAGTCTATTATGAGTTAATATTAAATTTTCCAAGTTATAGCAAATAAATAAATAGAATTTACAGTACTGCATCATGTGACTTTCAAATATTAATATAATTAAAGTTGATCTTAAATCTTGAATCTATTGTAAAAGAGCAGATAGAATTTGCGATACTGTATCATTAATCCATAAAATTTTAATATAATTTGTTACATAGGTGTAAGCTATAAAATTAAATATCGATATTACTGCATTTTAGTGTTCTCTAGGGTTTAATTTTGCTAAATTATTGTTGCCTGCTCTGTAAGACTCGATTAGACATATTAAGTCAAACTGGTACTTAAGAATAAATGAATTGCTATGGATATCTTATCATAAAATTAAGTTACTCAAATATGTTAGCTTAACATCATATGTAGCTAATCAATGTTTTTACATCTGTGTAATAAATTTAAGGGTTCGACATTAACTTTTTACTGCGGTTTTTCTACATAATATGAAATAATTCTTGACAGATTGTTCATAATACAAGACCGTCTTTTTATATGATCGTCGTAATGTTCGCTTAGATTTAAAAAATAATCTTAAAAATTTATTAATTACATTGACGCCATGATAGTATAGTTTCAGATATTATTGAATTCTCAACAAGTTCTGTCATGATATCAATGTTTAGAAATTACTCTACTGTTTGATTAATAGTAGGAGTAACAGTAGATATAAAAGTAGAATTATTGTTTTTGATAAAATTTTGCTTAGAATCATTTCAAAATACACTACAATTGTTGATTTTGAATAAGCTCTAGGTAAAAAATAGGATAATGGATTTCAAAATTGCTGATTAATTTTCATTGCGCAATATTCCTGGAAAATTACATTTTTTGCTCTAGAAATTTGCACGTATAAGGCAATAATTAAGCAGCTTTCTTTGTTTCAGTAAGTAATTTATTTTTTCTAAATTTTTTAATTTGGGAAAATAGTTGAAGAAGATGTAGTTGAAGTTGATTTAAGTAAGAGGAAAATGTGCTTTGTATAAATAGATATGAAAATCCAAGCATTAGATATTATGTCGAAAATTTTATCTAGCAAGAAATAAATAATTTAATAAACAGCACGTGTAAACTTTGTCTTAATTCTCGCCGCATTCAACTTTCTCTATCCTTACTCTATTTGTTACTGCTTTTAATTTTTTGTTATATTCTAATTGCTCTTATATACAGTAGCGAAGATATTGCTTGTAAAAGTTTTGTCATCTTATATTGGTTAGTTTTGATGAGATTGAGTAAAATCTTTTAAGTTCCGAAATATCGCAATGCTTTTGCTATTAAGAGTTGGAGTCTGACTGTTAGAAAAGTACGGTACTTTATAAACTAAAGTGACCTTAATAAAAATTCGATAGCATCACTCTGTTTGTTCGCTTAATTTTACCGTAATTGCTCAATGGATTGCTTTTCTGCCATA